GCTCAAACCTAGCGCTGTACCACTTGAGCCACAGCACCACTTCTGGTTTTCTGTAGTTTATTGGAGATAAGAATCTCAAGGACTTTCCTGCTCCAGCTGGCTTTGAACTGTGATCCTCAGATCTCAGACTCCTGAGTAGCTAGGATTATAAGACGTGAGCCACCACCAGTGCCCAGCTTACTATGCAATCTTGAGGAAAAAAAAATCTTTGTATATAGTTCTAAAAAAAAGAAGAAAATGAATGAAAAAAAATTACTAGCATAAGTAAATATTGGCTTCTTTTTTTTTTTTTTTTGGTGCCAGTCCTGAGGCTTGAACATAGGGACTGAACAATGTCTCAGCTTTTTTGCTAAGACTAGCACTCTATCACTTGAGCCATATCTCTTTTTCCAGGTTTTTTTTTTTTGTTCAGGTAAGGGGGTAGGTTTATTCAGTAGACCTGATGGGACCAGGCAAGGTTGGCACTCCACGTGCCTGGGAAAGAGAGGGAGCAAGAAAAGAACAGAGAGAGAGCTAGAATAGAACAGAGAGAGCAAGAAAAGAGCAGCAAGAGCAAGAGTTTTTCCAGGTTTTTGATATTTAATTGGAGATAAGAGTCTTATAGGCTCTCATGCTCAGACTGTTTGGGATGTAAGTAGAACTTTATATATAGCCTATGTATGCATTACCTAAACAAGTTTTGTAATTATAGTACTTTTTATTCAAATGTCTATTAAATTATCATACACTTAGGTTTTATTTTATTTTTTGGCAGTACTATTGTTTGATTTCAGTGCTTCATATATGGTAGGCAGGTACTCTTCCACTTGAGCCATACCTCTAGACCTTTATGCTTTGGTTACTTTTGAGATAAGGTCTTGATTTTTGGCCAGGCTAGTCTGGGTCAGTAATCCTTCCATTTATAGTTGCCACCATAGCTGAGGTTGGTTGAGATGGGGCCCCATGAACTTTTTACTAGAGCTGGCCTCAAACCTTGATTCTTCCAATCTTTTTTTTTTTTTTTTTGTCAGTCGTGGGGCTTGAACTCTGGGCTTGGGCACTGCCCCTGCGCTCTTCAGCTCAAGGCGAGAGCTCTACCACTTGAGCCACAGCACCACTTCCAGTTTTCTAGTGGTTTATTGGAGATAAGAGTCTCACGGACTTTCCTGCCCGGGCTAGCTTTGAACCAAACTTCTATCCTCAGATCTCAGCCTCCTGAGTATCTAGGATTACAGGCATGAGGCCCCTGCAATTCTCCCAATCTTTATTCATCTGTTTTGGGTGTAATGGTCCAAGCCTGTAATCCTATCTACTTGTAAGGTGGAGATTTGGAAGGATCTAGGGTCAAGAAAAAGTTTGGTAGACTTCATCTCAATCAATGGCTGAAAAGAGCCTGTAATCCGAAGCTACAGGGGAAACATAGTGGTTGGATACAGTCTTTGTGCCTGTCAGCAACAAAAGAAAACACATATAGGATCCAAATCCAACCCAGACTGGACATGAAGTTTAGCCCTATCTTCGAAATAACCAATGCAAAAAATTACAAGTGGTATGGTTCAAGTGATAGAGCACCTGCATGAGGCCCTGAGTTCAAATTCTATTATCACTTAAAAAAATAATTGCATTGATTGTTTCAGTGCCACTTCCTTTTGTTCTTAAAGTTCTCTACTTAAATTTCTCTTGACCTGTTTATCTGCTAGGAAAGAAATGTAGAAGCTGTAAGAAATGCAAAAGATGAACGTGTTCGGGAAATTAGAAATGCAGTAGAGATGATGATTGCACGACTAGATACACAGCTGAAAAACAAGCTTATTACACTGATGGGTGAGTGCTTTTTTGAATACTTCTCCTACATTGTACCTTGAGCTTGATTGAAGTTTAGTCTTCGAGTTGTGAGGTTGGTGAGTTGTTACAGGCTAGAAAGAAATCTTGAGATTTTAGGTATCTCCATATTGTTATCTGGACTATTGTATCATTTATATTTAGAAATCATTAGAGAAAAGCTTACACAGCCATTTGGGAAGGAATTCCAATGGTTAATGCCTTTCATTGTGTGTGCCATGTATTTTCCCACAAATCCAATACAATGTCCTTTTTTTCTTTTTCTGGTCTTTAGTGGAGATCAAGAACATTGGCCAACTCTTTAGCTTTTTGTAAAAAAATTAAAATCCTGGTTTTTTTTTATTTTTAGTAGATTTCTTTTTCAGTCTAAATATTCAAATGTTTATTGCTCCCCCATTTGGTTCTTCATGCTGTATTTGATTGCCTTATAATGCTTTGATTATGGAGCCTAATTTTAATTTTATTTTGTAGTGTACTAGCTTTTGCACTCAGAGTATTCTGCTTGCTTAGCAGGTCCTCTATTACTGAGTTATTCTTCCAGCAAGGAGCCTGCTATTAAACAAAATTTAAATAATAGTATGGTCTAATGTTAATTTATTCATTTATTTTGGTGGTGCCAGGGATTGAACCCAGTTCAGCCATTATTCTTCTCTTAGATGAATTTGTTAGGCCTAAGTTGAGTTTTTTTCTCTCTCTCTCTCTCTCTCTCTTTTTTTTTTGGTGCCAGTCTAGCTTGAACTCAGGGCCTAGGCACTGTTCCTGAGCTTTTGTGCTCAAGGCTAGTACCCTACTACTTGAGCCACAGCCCCACTTTTTGGTGGTTAATTGTAAAGAGTCTCATGTCCATTCTTGCCTGGGATGGCTCTTAATCATGTTCCTCAGCTCTCAGCCTCATGAATAGACATGAGCCATTGATGTTTGGGTCTAAGTTGGATCTTGTCATCGTCTTTTTTTTTTTTTTGGAGCCCCAGGGTTTGGGTGCTGTCCCTGAGCTCTTTTAGTCAAGGCTAATGCTCTACCACTTTGAGGAGCCACTTCAGTTTTCTAGTGGGTAATTGCAGAAGAAGGGTCTCATGGACTTTCTTGCCTGGGCTGGCTTTGAACTGCGATCCTCAGATCTCAGCCTTCTTAGTGGTAGAGTGCTTGCCTATCATGCATGAGGCCCTGGGTTCAATTCCTCAGTACCACACTAATAGATCTCAGCCTCCTGAGTAGCTAGGATTACAGACAGGAGCCACTAGCACCCAGTGTGAATTTTGTCTTTGAAAAGGATTTATTCTTTTTTTCTTTTTTCTTTTTGTTCCAGTTCTGGAGCATGAACTCAGGGCTGGCACTGTCCCTGAGCTTCTTTTGCTCAAGGCTAGCGCGCTACCACTTCCGGCTTTTTCTGTTTATGTGATACTGAGGAATTGAACCCAGGATTTCATGCATGCTAAGCAAGCACTCTACCACTAAGCCACATTCCCAGCCCCACATTCCCAATCCCAAAAAGGATTGATTCTAAAGTTCTCTTTTTTTATTTATTTTTTATTTTTTGTCGGTCATGGGGCTTGAACTCTGGGCCTGGGCGCTGTCCTTGAGCTCTTCAGCTCAAGGCTAGTGCTCTACCTCTTTAGCCACAGCACCACTTCTGGTTTTCTGAGTGGTTTATTGGAGCTAAGAGTCTCATGGATTTTCCTGCCCAAGGTGGCTTTGAACTGCAGTCCCAGTTCTCAGCCTCCTGAGTAGTTAGTATTACAGGCATGAGCCACCAGTGCCTGGCTTTAAAGTTCTCTTTCCTAAGAAATACTTTGACTAATCAGTATTCAACATTTGAATTCTATTCAAAAATAGATTAGTATTAGATTTATTTCTTTTTTTTGTGGGGGGGGGAGTCACTTGTGGGGCCTGAACTGTGGGTCTGGGCACTGTCCCTTCACTCTTCAGCTCAAGGCTAGTGCTCTATGACTTGAGCCACAGCCCCACTTCTGGCTTTTTCTGCTTATATGGTGCTGAAGAATCGAACCTAGGACCTCATGAATGCAAGGCAAGCACTCTACTACTGAGCTATCTAACCAGCTCCTAGATTCTATTTCTTAAAGCACTAGAAAAATCTTCAGGTTTAAACTAATGAAGAACTTTCGCTTATTTGATAAAATAGATTTTTAAACATGTTTATTAGGAGCTAATTTTATTCTGAAACCAGTAGTGAAGTTATACTGTACATTTGAACAGGTCAAAAGACATCTCTAACCCAAGAAACAGAGCTATTGGAATCCTTACTTCAGGAGGTGGAACACCAGGTGATGAACAAAATAATTTTCTTTTTCATTTCTGAGATTTTAAGAGATTTTGCAAATCTCTTAAAAGTGGTTCTTTGTGAAGTAGGAGGTGGGTGGGGACAGATTATCTTTTTGAGATCAGAGGATCTATTTGTTATAATAGATATTTTCTTATGAAATAAGAATCAGCTGATTAAAGGTTTCTCTTCAATTTGAGAAGTATAATTATAATGTTGTGTAAGAATAGAATCCTTTTTCTTTTTGTCAGTCTTGGGGCTAGAACTCTGGTCCTGGGCGCTGTCCCTCAGCTCTTAGCTCAAGGCAAGCACTTTACATCTTGAGCCACTGCATCACTTCTGGTTTTCTGGTGCTTTATTGGAGATAGGAGTCTCATGGGACTTCCCTGCCTGGGCTGGCTTTGAACCTGGATCCTCAGATCTCAGCCTCCTGAATAGCTAGGATTACAGGCTTGAGCCACTGGTGCCCAGCTCTTTTTCTTTTCTATTTTGTAAACTAGTAATAAACCCACAGAAATTGTAAATCTATTAAAAATACAGAGTTCTAGAACTTTAAAATTTTGAAGTCTTTATCAATTTGAGGTTTGGTGTGATATTTAGGAAATCTATCTAACCCAAGGTCATAAAATTTTTCTCTTATTTTTTTAGAGCTTTTTTTTTTTTTTTTTTGGTTGGACATGGGGCTTGAACATGGGGCCTGGGAGCTGTCCCTGACCTCTTTTGCTCAAGGTTAGCATTCTGTCACTTTGAGCTATAGTGCTGCTTCTACTTTCCTGGTAGCTAATTGGAGATAAAAGAGTCTCACAAACTTTCCTACTGGGGCTGGCTTAGAACTTCAGTCCTCAGATCTCAGCCTCCTGAGTAGCTAGGATTACAGGTGTGAATCACTGGTGCCTGGCTAGAAATTTTGTTATTTTAAGACAATTGTAGTGTACTCTTTAATCCCATCACTTGGAAAAGGTGAGGCCGGTAGATCTTGATTTAGAGGCAAGACTGGGCTTACGTATCAAGACCTAATCTCAGACAAAAAAACTGTTTTGAGTATTTTTATTGGTGAGGTATAGATACAGGGTAAGATTTTGGTTATTTTGTTTTTGTTTTATTGGCTGTCTAATACCATCTGTTCTAATACCATCTGTTGAAAAGGTTATCTTAATTGTTGCATTTTTTCCCAAGAAATAGTTGTCCTTATGTTCATGGACTCTTATTTGTTTTGGTGCCAGTTTTGTTTTTTGTTTTTGTGCTACTTTTGAATCTTGAACTCTGGGCCTGGGTGCTGTCCCTGAGCGCCCTTTGCTCAAGGCTGGTACTCTACCACTTGAGCCACAGCTCCACTTCTGGCTTTTTCTGTGAGTAATTGGAGATAATTCTCATGGACTTTCCTGCCCAGGCTGACTTTGAACCGTGATCCTCAGATTTCAGCCTTCTGAGTAGCTAGGATTAGAGATGTGAGCCACTAGCACCCAGTTATAATAATAATAGTAACTCTTATTATTTTAATTTTATTTGTTTAATGGCTGGGTCTTGTGTGGTTCATGACCAGCCAAAAGAAAAAGAAAAAGCTCTGAAATTGCATAAGCTATTTGTTAGTACACATAACCACTTCACTGTATTGGTAGGTTCTTTTATCTGTTTTTCAGCAGGTAGCTAATTTGTGTTTTTTTTTCTTAAAACTTTTGAGTTGCTACTGAATAACATTTCTGTTGGTTCAGCTAATTTTTTTTCCTTTCACAGTTGCGGTCTTGTAGTAAAAGTGAACTGATATCTAAGAGCTCAGAGATCCTAATGATGTTTCAGCAAGTTCATCGAAAACCCATGGCATCTTTTGTTACCACTCCTGTTCCTCCAGACTTTACCAGGTATGACAATTTTTAAATCTCATTTTCACTTGAAGTTTGTGTACAAAAGGTATATACTTGTTTCAGAAGAATCAATTGTGTTTTTTAGCTCTTAATCTCTTTTAAGGTACTATTTATAGTAATATGATCTGGGGAAGTCTGCACATGTAAATCTTGTCTCAAAAAAAAATGTGATGCTGGGTGCTGGTGCCTCACTCCTGTGATCCTAGCTACTCAGAAGGCTGAAATCTGAGGATCAAGGTTCAAAGCCAACCTGGGCAGGAAAGTCTGTGAGACTCTTATCTCTAATAAACCACTAGAAAACCGGAAGTGGCGCTGTGGCTCAAGCGGTAGAGTGCTTACCTTGAGCTGAAGAGCGCAGGGATAGCGGCCAAGACCAGAGTTCAAGTCCCACGACCGAAAAAAAAAAAAAATGTGATGGACTCATATTATGGATCTTGTTGTGTAGCCCAGGCTGACTTTGAACTCAAAATCCTCCTGCTTTAGCCTCTCAAGTGTTGCAATTATAGGTGTGATTCACGATGTCCAGTTTTTTGTGTTTTTTGTTTTATTTTTTGTTGGTGTTGGTCCTGGGGCTTGCACTCTGGGCCTGGGCACTGTTCAACTCTTCAGCTCAAGGCTAGCAGCGCTCTACCACTTGAGTCACAGTGCCACTTCCAGTTTTCTGGTTATTTTTGGAGATAAAGAGCCTCCTGAGTAGCTAGGATTACAGGCGTGAGCCACTGATGCCCAACTAATGCCCAGTTTTTGACTTAGTGTTAAACAATAAAGAGGAAATGGTAGTGCACTAAAAATTGTTTGTCTTTTTCTTGGAGCAACATTTTCTTTTTTTTTTTTTTTTT